ACAGGAAATGTTTAGAGATTGGTGGAATAGGAAGAATATGCATATATTGATATTAGGGTGCGAAGAGTTAACCCTTTAATTCCGATGAGCGGCCATGATAGAATTTCTCCTTACAATATCAATACAATATCAAGCTGACAAGTGATGAGAATAAAGAAAAATTGTCTAAAACCAGGTCTCACAGAGTGAATTGATTTTACAAACACAGCAAAACTTGGTAGGGTAGGCTAGGGCGCAGTCATGTTATCTTTCGCCAATCAAAGTCATCTCAGTAAAAAAATATCCTGGTAAAAGAGAACACTGTTAAATCAATTTACTTACAGTCTGCTCAGATAAGTTAATCCGGATCAATTCATGGCCAGATGCCTTAGCAATAGCATGGACAAGACTGGTTTTGCCAACTCCAGGAGACCCTTCCAACAAAATAGGGCGAGGCAACTGAAGAGCACGCAAGATGCGCTGTGCATTTTGTGAAGTTGTTGGTGAGCTGAGAGTGTAGGTGTTACAAAAATTTTCTGGTAGAGGTTGTGGTCCTAAGGAGGAATTCATTTACAACATTCAGAATAATCTGATACAGATAATTCTGCCCGTAGATGAAATCAGAGCATCATTACAAGTCATTTCTTGGGAAAGAAGACACTACTAATGCAAATTTCCTTCAAACACAGGTTGTTTGTACTGATTACTGTCTCTTTGACCCTAACACAGTGTAATCAAGAAGTATTGCTTCTCCTCCTTTATGGCAAGGCTGGCCAAACAATATTTCAAAAATACATACCTCTTGGTATAAAAAATGGTCTTATACCAAACAAATCTGGACTTTCATCGAGATCGTTAATTTGCAAATTGTGAGGATATCCAGAACACTGCATTGCCTCTTCATCTTGTTCCACTTGTCTTTTCAGAAATTCAAGGCAAGCTTGGTAGGCATCTTTTATAGCACTTGATGCTGCAGATAAAGCTGTAGCTGCTGCTACTGATGATGATGATGATGATGAAACCACACTGGTGGACCCTACACCCAAGGCATCCAGAAAAACAAGGCAGGCACCATGGACATAAGCTAAGGCTGGTGAGAGTAAGACTTTGTCTCCTGTATTTTCATCTGCAGCATTCTCAGTGACTGAGAAACTGCATGTATTTATAAAATTCACCCAAGACAGCAGATCTCTAATGCTTACCACAAATCTAAAGAAAAAGTTAAACCATAATAATTACTATTGATAATAGAAAAAAGTACTGATATTCCAAGCTGATGATATCACCTCTGATATTTGGTAGTTGATAATACTATGCAGCATATCCTTAAGAGCTCACTTTTAAGATAATACTTCCTACCATAATTGCCATTTTGTAAATGAAATACAATCTTCTGAATTTCTTCACATCTGTTTAACAAGGCTATAAAACAGGTCTCTCAGCTCTTACAACACACTAAGCAAGTGCTATTGAACATTTCCCTGTGATCCACTCATTCTATGTTAAATATCAGCAATGCACATTAATTTTAGGATCACAGTTTAAGACTGAACTTACCTCTTTCCAAAGTCTGAGCTATGAAACCATTCCATGAAGTCCACTATGGCCTCTCCTATACCTGATGTACCTAAGAGAAGAATACTTGTACTTAAAGATGGAAACTTGCAGGGAAAACATTTTGAGTTAGCCTTTAAGCACCTCTATGTCTTGAGGGAGACCTTCAAGGTACCTTACAACCAAACATGATGCAAGTGAGGGCATTCTGCATGCCTTTCTTACCTTGATTCAGGACAACTCCAGGCTTGATGTTGTGTTCTATAATCTGTACCAGGTCTGTCCTTGCATCTGAAGGTGGGCACCAAATCTCAGTGAACCTGTTCCTTAGGGCTGGAGATAGCTACAAGAAAAAAAGGAACAGAATTTGACTTTGCAAGCTTGTAAAGGCTGCCTTAGATATTTAGAACTTTACTAGTTGTTTTGTTTCATTGATTTTGTAGCTCATTATGATTGTTTTTCCCTGATGCTGATTCCCAGAAACAGCCAGTTGAGGATAATTTTCAGGATTACCCATTCCACCACTGATGGCATTTGTTGTGGTGATATGTCAAGTATCATAAAGTTTCTTCAGTGTAATAATTTTTCACCTTTTTACATGGTCATACCTCACACATTATGCAATGTTCCTGCATGCATGATGTACGAGACTGTCTTGATTGTTATCACCAACATCATGAGCGTTTTTCTAAGAATAATTCTTAAACATATCTAGAGTAAATACACCGAATCAAAATATGGCATCCAATTTAAACTGCCATTGTTCTGGACTTACTAGCCTCTCACACATGTGATAATCCTTTTGTGTTTTCCACATCAAGATGAGGCTAGTAAGTCCAGAACAATGGTAATTCAAAGTGAATGCCATAATTTTATTTCAATTTGGTGTATAAGCATTACTAATTAAAATGTCTTTATAATCACACGGTAAAAGCAAGGACCTTCACCAATATTTAGTGTCAAATAAGTATCTATTCACTGCACACCTATTCCTCTCCTAACCCAACATGAACCCTAACATGCTATCATTTGACTGTTTTTGGAGTAGGGGAGGGGTAGGTGTGCATTTGCTAACTATAGGTACTGATGTTGATCCTACATATCTTACTTCTTTCTTGCCAAAATCTCCACCAGGATTCATGGTTCCTATAATTTTGAAATCTTTGTGTGCAACCAACATGGCAACATCTTCTTCAACAAGATCTCCACCATCACTGCCTTTTTCAGCAAGAACTAAAGTCCTCTCAGGTTCTAGCACCCTGTTGAGTCTCTCCAACACAGAGTCATCAGCTAAGGAAATCTCATCTACCAAGAACATTGCCCCTTGTTTCATTGCTTGTACAAGTGGTCCATCACACCACTCAAACAGCTTGGAAACTTGTTCATCCTTTAAAATGATACAATATAATTTGTCACATTCATGTAAAAAATCCACCTGCTCCAAGTATACACCTTTGTGCAGCTTAAAGAACTTGTACACATTAATACCATGTATAAAACAGACAGCACTGCATTCTATCATTTTAAGCATGCTAGGTATGTGAGATTTTCAAACTGGCAGGACATTGTTGAATTTTCATGAATTCCAAGAAAATTTGGTGGTAATGAGAGGTTCTACTTGTAAGCAGTAAATTTTACAGTCTGGTTACTTCCTGAAAAGAAGAACACTGCAAACAGTTGAAAATAATTAATATGTCTCAACTACATGTTAGTCTTCCCCCTGTTAAATTAAAGTAATTTAATTACAATTAAGAGCATAGTTAGCTATGTTGAGAGTTAGCTGGACCTCTCACCTGTTCTTCCTGGCCTCTGTGTCGCACAGGTCTTAGACCTCCAAGGAAGTCAGCAGACTCAGAATGCATGTGACAGTTGACAGCGAATAACTGCTGATTCCACAGAGCAGCAAACAATTGGCAAATGGTGGTCTTACCACAGCTGAAAGATAAAGGTTAACATAGTGCTACTGTAAAATAACTCGATTAATTTGGTAAATACAAAGTAAAGAACATAACTGAATTTTAGAGCTCTTCCTCAAGATGCACTGAGCTAGACTACACATCAAAAAGGTGCATTTTTAAGCCCTGATCAGGGTAATTTCACCCATCATGATGTACTTAATAAGCAAGTCACTTCACTAACACAGTAAATCTCTCCACCTTGGAGAATAAAGGGGGATCTGGAAAATAATCAAGGAGATCTGTACAAGTGTTAAAGAGCTCATGGTGGTTAGTAACATCCAGAAGAAGTACTCCTAGCCGTAGTCTTTTACACAACTGCCTCC